GCTTCCTTTAAAATCGGAGTGCATCTGCCTGAGAGGCAAGGAACCAACAGTCTGCACACATATGTGTCAGAAATGTCAAACGGATGCACACACAACTATCAGGTTTTAGAACAGGACTGCAGTTCAGAAGTGGACGAACAACCAACACTTTCCTTTCACCAGAGTTTACAGCTGGTGAACGCAAAGATGAAAGAAGAAGAAGAAGATGGCTGCAGATATCACCCACCTCTATTCATCTCTCTGGTTGGTCTTCTCTTTCCAGTTGGTAACACCAAGTGTTTGCAGGTCTGTCTGGACATTGTCTCTCCGTAGTGTTCTTGGTTTGTCTCGTGGTCTACGACCATTCTCTCCCTTGTGGGTACGTCTTTCTTACGTTTCACGTAAATTTAGATCACAACCGTTGCGCTAAATGTTTAGCAGTGCGCTATAGAATGAGTCTGCTGGATCGTTTGTACGTTTTGTCACAAGTTGTGAACGAGTAGCTTACGTGGTTAGGGTTAGGGTAATTCACGTAGGTACTGTAAAGTTTGTTTTGTTAACTAACTAAAATTATATAAATAATGAAATACAACTGACAGTCTGAAAAATATTTATATATGCAGCATAAACGTTCAGATGAAAATAGAAGCCTACGCGGGAAAAGGGGGGGGGGGGGTCATTGTTTTATGATTACTAATTAACGAGAAATTATCGAAGATACAACACCACGAATTTGTAAACGTACTATAGGACTTTTCCGTCTGTCCAGACCACGCTATTCCACTGTGTAATAGGCAGGTGTCGTGTCGGCTCTGTGGCTAAGTCGATGCGAACGCTTCCTAATACCGGGGTACCGGGTTCGATCCCAGCTGCGGGCCATACGCATTGCGTTGGTTTCGACAGTGGTATCAAGAAAGCCGACCATCCAGAAAGCAGTGGAAAAACTACTGGACGTAAATTTGCCTAGAGAAACCACACAGCAGCCAGGAGCTGATGGGGTTGGTTCTGCAACGTCCTGTAAAGAATACGCAACTAATCACATAATAATAGGCAGGTGTGGGTATTGCAGGACATGGCGATGACGAGTGTAACTAGCAAATCCAGCTGCATATTGGCTCCAGGATATACGTGTATAGTCCTGACTTTGGAAATACGTAGTCAGGCCCTGCCCGGTGAGAATCTGAAACCAATGTCAAACAACCACTAGACCAGTGGCTCTCAATCTTCCTAATACCGCGACCCTCTAAGACAGTTCCCTCATGTTGTGACGATCCCCACAACAATTATTTTCCGTCATAACTTCAAAAATGGTGAAAATATGGGGGTGACTGCAGTCAAGCTTATGCAAGGAATTCCAGAGAAATTAGACTAAAAAGCTCAACAAAATAGGCCAGCAGAAAAACGTGAACAAAACAACACAACGTAACGTTTCGACCAGGCAGCCTTTTTCAAACACAAGTGAACTACACAAACGTTACAACGAGGAGAGGAGAGTCAAATTTTTTAGTCAAATTTTTCTGGAATTCGCTATAACTTCAATGGTTATTTGTTTTTCGATGGTCTTAGGCGACCCTTGTGAAAGGTGTCGTTCGACCTCTTTAAAAAAAGGAACCGCTGCACTAGAGCGGAAGGCAAGCACTGGTAGAAGATTTTGAAAATTACCAGTACGTATATGAATGTGCACGTATGTGTGTGTGAGTGAGAGAGAGAGAGAGAGAGAGAGAGAGAGAGAGAGAGAGAGAAAGAGAGAGAATGAGAGAGTGGCTAGGTACATGTTCTTCATAAGGTGGGTTAGAAAAGAGGAGGGAGTAGCTCGCTTAATCTTCTTCTTCTTCACTTCCTCTTTTACCGCTGTGGGTGTCGAGGGAGATATAAGGTTCTGTTTCTAACTCTTCTGGCTGTCTCGATCATAGGCACATCGTGCTGCTGTAGAGTTTCTCTGATGTTATCCTTCCATCTTGTTCTTGGTCTACCCCGTGCTCTAAGTCCTTCTTCTCTTTCCATGTATGCTTTGTATGGTATGGTGTCACAAGCCATTCTCTTTAAGTGGGCAAACCATTTCACTTGCTGTCTTTGTATGTAATCCAGAATTGTTTCTGTGCCGACTTGTTCTCTTATGATCTCATTCCTGATCTTATCTCTTATGGTCACTCCTACAGCCCTTCTCAGACATCTCATTTCCGTGGTTACTAATTTTCTTTTATGGTTTGCTGTGAGTGACCATGTCTGGCACTCCAATATTCTTTGACCATTTCCCTTTCTAGCACTGTTCTTAGCTGCACATGGACCTAAAAACTGTTCGTATTCTCTTCTATTATTTCCTATCCTCCCGTTGAAGTCACCCATTACATATAGTATGCCGCTTCCCTTAACTTTCTTTATCTCATCAGACAGATCGTCAAAGAATTCATCTTTCTGCTCTTTTGTATAATTATCATTGCATGGTGCATATAACTGTATATATGTTTCAGCTTGTTCTCCTCTTTTAATTTTCAAAGTAATAATTCTATCTGAGTGATAATGTATGTCTAATATGAAGTTAGATATGTCCGGATGTACCAGGAAACCCACTCCATTCTTCGTTGTTTCTCCTCCTGCATATGTTAGTAAGTAGCCTCTGTGTATTTTCTTATTAATATTTCCCTTGCGTCTTATGTCAGCTAGCCTCATTAACTTGATTTTCCTTTTTTCCATCATTTCAATAATCTCTTCTGTTTTATTTCCCAGGCCAGCGGTGTTAAGTGTTGCAATCTTGTATTTCACTGTTCTGTCTCGTAGTCCCTTAACATTGCCATGGTCAGATACCGTTTGATCAGTCCGTTTATATCTCATTTTGATTCTGTAGCGGTAATACATCCATTGCCGGCTTGCTAGGCCTGTCGCAACTTCACCAGAGCCCCGTTGGCCAGGACGTTTCGGGGTGACCCAGGGTGGCCTTCATGGCTACCGTAGCGGTCCCGTGGCACGAGGCCACACCATACTTCGCCTACACCTAGCAATCCCCTACTTTGTCCTGTTACCACCTCTCACGATGAGGACGTGAGAGCTCGCTTAATCAAATAACCCTAAACTGTGGTTTTTCTGTAAACTGTTTCTAGACCTGCCCACTTTATTTTCATTACCTGCACAAACATGGCGGGAACACAGTAAAAAATGTGCCTGATTGTTAGAATTCCCAGCCAAATCTATTTTCTCCGCCTGCTACCGTCATCTGCCAGATTTTTACATGGTCTTACTGCAGTGAGGTCGGTATTTCTTCCGAAACCAAAAGTGAAAATACTCTTCTAATGGTTTTGACAGCTCTTGTTGTCAGTACCTGGGAACCTGTTTATCCTGAGTGGTCTTGAGGTATGGAACCCGCCTCGAGTGCTCGAGGTCCCGGGATCAAACCCCGGTGAATGCTGGGATTTTTTTACGTGGACTTCTAATAGCGATTTCCCGAGGTCTCTGGGTAGTAAGACCGGACGCCCCTGCGTATTGTTGGGCACGTAAAAATAAATCCCTTGGCAGTTGGAAATCGAAAAGATTAGCTTAACGGCGCTGCCCGGGCAAAATGTGGAGTTGAAAATCTACCCAAAGTATTTCAGGATCCCCGCTGGTACAACAGAGTTCGTGAACTGCGCTGACATTCTTTAGACTCAGGCTTGAGAAGTAGAAGGGAGCACTTATAGGTTACACCAGTGTGCCATATGTTGATCCGTTGAACAAACCAAACCAAACCGTTTAACATTTTTCTTTTTTACATTTTGACCTATATTTGTGCTACATGTTGTGTGTGAGTGTTTTTATTTTATTTAATTTGTTCTTTCCCAGCCTCGTTTTTACCTGGTCATGCTTTGTTTTATCGGAGAATACAAACGTAGAACTACTGAAAATGTGACTCAAATGGATGGTCAAAGGCATATGTTGAGAATGCCTATGTTTCACTCATCTATCTCTCATCTAGGTCCTCTTGTACCTTGCGGTCTCGAGGTGAAGTATACTTTACGGGAAAGAGCCCGATTGTGTGCTTCGTAAATTGGGATTCACATGGACTCTGTAATTACCTCTGTCCATCGCTTGCTTAGTCGACCTCTTCCTCGCTTCCCGTTTAGTCAGTGCATCGTAGCTTGCTGTTGTGTACTGTCGGGGCTTTATACAGATTTGGGCTATTTAACTGGCGCCCCGCGAGCTAAATCCTGCCTTCAGAGGCCTAGTACGTGGGCAATTGATCATTGTCAGTTTTGTTGTATGAAGTATCCTTTCTACCACGACCGGTTCCAGCTGACGGGCCGTGATGCTGACGTCGCCGGGTCGGGCTAACGATGCGTTAAAGCAGCGGCTCTCAAACTGTATGCCAAGGCACTCTGGGGTCCCGTGAGCGTACGCCAGGGGTGTCGCGGCAATAATCAAGAAAAATCGGCTTCAAATTGTGAAATTATTAAGTAAGGCATGTAGTTACTTAGAAGTTGAAATTTAATTTGTCTTCCCTCGTCACTGTTAAAAATAGTTTATTTCTTGTGTTAGAACCTCTGCGTTAACGCATCGTTAGCCTGACCATGTGACGTCAGTAGCATGTCCCGTCACCTGGAGCCGGTCATATTCCTACCGAGGGACAGCAGGCCTCTGGCCCTTGATGATTGTGGGGCCCATCAATCAACTTAGTTGAATGGTCCAGGCTAATGACCTCACCAGATTTAAATTTGGCACTCTTAGGAACAGTGTGTAGAGCAGTGGCTGTCCACCTCCCTAATGCCGCGACACTTTATTACAGTTCTCTCATGTTGTGGCGACCGCCAGACAATTAATTTCCTTACTAACTTCAAAAAATATGTGTTTTTCGATGGTCCTAGGCGACCCCCGTTAAAGGGTCGTTTGACCCATAATAGGGTCCCGACCGGCAAGTTGAGAACCTTGGGTGCTTACTGTGTCGGAGTACTGGCACACATGATAACGCCATATGGGTAGTGACGTCCATTGTGATAACATATAACATACCTGATGTGTATACATCTAACAACTAAAACAATTTTCTTTTTCAGACTGCAAATTTACTCAAATGCCAATGTGAACCATATGAGAGCTCTTCAAGTCACCAGAAGGTTGTAGAAAGTGCTGACTACCTACAACTGACATCAGCCAGTTATGTGGATAGCAAAACATGTGACTACTCCCTCTCCGTCACTGGACAGCCAATCGTGATACGACTTCGTCTAAGAGGCGTGGCGTTTGTCTTGGTTGCTACGCTGGTTGTCGTAGCTGTGGCTGTGGGCGTGTCAAAGATCAGAGCAAAACCCACACTTCATGTTACTTTCCCTGCTTCTACTGCCACAAGTAAGTTCTGCATGTGAAATCTTAGTAAGTCTAACTTTCATTGTTAACAGAACCGGTAAACACACACACACCATGCCTTCAGCAGACTTAATATTTATCACGACTTTTTTTAAACTATCATCACTATCATCATCATTATATTCATCATTATCATCATCATCGCCGATTTCTTTATTGAAATTTCTTATCTCTTATTATAATAATTATCATCATCATCAGCAACATCTCTCTCATTACCTGCAGGATTCAGCTAGGCCATATATCCACCCCTTATGTGCCAGACAACGAGCAATAAATTGAGCAGTATATAATTTTTTTTTTGTTTCTTCAAATACCCCCCCCCCCCCCCACCCCAATATATGTTTATGATTATAATAACGAACACCCAAACTTTCCTCTGGAGTTCAGAACCAGTGAACTAAAACAAACAACTATGTTCTGTGTGTTATTTATGTTTCATTTTGCAACATGTTTCGTATTCGTCTGTTTCATAGTTTATTCGCCTGAGCGACCCACTCCCGACTACCATTGGAATTTTTTTTTTTTAACCCAGCTAAGCTGAACAAAAAACCCAAGCAATGCACATGCAAAGAACCAAAAACAATGAAAAACCTAGATTGTGAAAAAGTACAAATTTTATCGTTACGAAACGAAATATTTACCCACTTTTATATAAGAATATGGTTTTTTTTAAAACCCAGATTTCAAAATTTGAACCCAAAGCGTCAAAAAAAAAAAAAAAAACCCAGATCTGGGGGTAAAAACCAATCATTGGCAGCCCTGGCCCCACTCCCGTCTCGCCCAGCCAATTTTCCATGTTAGCGTTGACGTCTGAGATTTAATTGTCCTCTTGGAGATTCAATAGGAGCGTCCGCGACTGGGTCACCCTTTGGCTGGCCGGAAGACGGCTTCGTCGTCGGTCGGGACAGTATTGGGGTCTGTCTCTTAGGATCACATCAACAGTGCAAGAATCCTTTTCAGGGCTACTTGGTGGCGAGCAACGCTGAGCCACTTTATATAGCGCACGTAAATCTAGTCACAATTATAACCTAAAGCTCCTCCTTAGGGGATGCTGGTTAAACGTGGCGATCTTTTTTCTCGCAAAGCATGGAAGCCGCCTTGGTGTAGTGGCTTGACTCTCACCTGTGTATCAAAAGGTCGTGGGTTCTAGTCCTAACGGAGACTTATTTTTTTTTTCAAAAGTTATATTGGATCTCAGGTCCAACCAGTCTTGGGTGGGTACTAGGTAAAATCATGGGAAGTAAAGGCGGCCGGCGTGATGCGGATCACATCACCCACCGAGTGCCGATTTGTCTATAAAAATAAAGGCCTAGCCCTATACACCCAGTATACCTAAAGGAGTGGATAAGGTTCTTTTACAATATTACGAATAAATGTTTATCGAGTAGCATTGCCCAGTCTCTAACGCTATTGATTTAACTCGCTTAGCTGTCCCAGCATGCCTTGGCGACTCAATGACGACAGGTCACATGGGACAAACCACCAATCAGCATCATTGGGTCGTTTGCGATCGTTTACTAGGAGTCTTACTAGGGCCGTGTTATGTGGAAGGGGCAAATCAGGAAGGGAATTGGAATAAAGGAAGAAATAATTGCAGAAAGGATGAGAAAAAGGAATAAAAAGACGGAAAAAAGGAAGAAGAAAAGAAGAAGAAGAGAAGAAGAAGAAGAAGAAGAAGAAGAAGAAGAAGAAGAAGAAGAAGAAGAAGAAGAAAAAAAAAAAAGAGAAGAAAAAGAAGAAAAAGAGGAGGAGGAGAAGAAGAAGAAGAAGAAAAGAAAAACCAACTATCTTCATTACGCCAAGCAAAGCACTATACTTCAAGAATCAACCTAGCAACGAAGAAGTCTTCAAAACCAATAGACTAATATTTCAAACTGTCAAACCGAAGGAACTTGAAGAGAGGCAGAAATCTGCCGCAGTTCTTCTATGTTTCCTTGTTCGCACTCAATCTCCTTCCATGAATGTTTCTAATAAATTCACTAGTTAGTTTTACGACGGACACACTCTGAAACATTTCTTTTTCTACAGTGATGTTGTCTGTTGCCATATTTGTTTACTTTAGCTAATGAGAACACAGACAATATATCGCTTAATTTAGTGCATGTTGTCTGGCATAAAAGAGATGGATGGACGTCGTAGCTAAAGGAAATCCAAGTAAGAAGAGGAAAAGACATGCACAGCTAACAACAGGGTGGATGACGAGCGGTCTGAATCGGAAGGAAGCATCAAGCCCAGAAACGGCGCAAATACTAGAATTTAGTCACGAAAGTGACGCAAATAACCCAGACCACAAATATAGGCGGAGACTGTTAGCAGCCTCGCCTAGCTAGCAGCAGTCTAAAAGTGGTCGACCTTTTAATTTTTTTTCTTAAAAGGAATCGGAATAGGAAGTCGTAGCTCAATCTGACACACACACACACACACACACACACACACACACACACACACACACACACACACACACACACACACACACACAACGCACACTCGCACGCACAAATACACACTCAAGCACACACACACGTTCACGTACACGCGCGCGCGCGCACACACACACACACAGAGCCATCACTCAAGCCACAGGAGGAGCGCTGGACAAATACAGAAGGGAACCATGTCACCAGGCTACAGTCTGATTACAGGTTGTATTTTTCAGTTACCTGCGACTTACAATTGTTGCTTTAAAAAAACGTTACAGTGACGATCCCTTATCACGCCTTTAGGCGCGTCGGGCATATGGGAAGAGCGCCCATATTTTTACAGACCAATCGGCACTCGGTGGGTAATGTGGTCAGCATGACGCAGGCCGTCTTTACCTCCCTGAGCCACAACACAGGAAGATTATTAATGCAATATCAAGAAAAGATTTAAAACTGAATAAAAAGTATATCAGCAAGCTTCACAATGTAAAGTACACAAACAAAACGTGAGCGTTGCGGCTATAGAGTCTTCATCAGCACATACATAACTAAAACAATACCACACCATTGATACAATACATCATTAATACCACAATACCACACCATTAATAAAATACAACTTGCTAGGCTCCCCTGGCCGCTAGCTGAATATCCCTGTTCTAAGGTATACAAGCGTAGACAGATTTGGAGTACCAACTGTCTGGTGATGAAAGACAATACAAAAGAAAGACATTGTGTTAATAAAAAGTGTTTTCCTTCTTTCAGGGAAAGTCCGAATGTTCTCTGATTTCCCGGATCTGTCACAGCTGTCCAAAAACCACTCCAGCTTGTCTTTGTTATCCAGACTTCAGTTGTTGGGTATGTACGATAAGCATTCAACAGTTAAACTAACATCCTCATTTTTTTTTTATTTTTATTTTTCGCAAACTGTTTGTGCAGAATGCGTTGAATTCATTCACAGTGACCGTCTTTTGTTCCTTCTTAAAGGGAAGAAAGAAAAAGTCAACCACTTTTAACCCTGCTGAATGAAGACAACTTGGTTTTTATTTATTTGTCTGGTTTTATTGCGCCAAGTTCACAGACTAAAATGGTTTGTTGTGCCAGTAGTTGTGGCTTTTTGTCCTTAATTGTATGTGACGTTTTCAGGTCTGAACATGAATGTGTCCTCTCTGTTGGTCGTGTGCTCTTGGTGGTGGTTCTGCTTTGATTGTCCATCTTTCTAACTGTGCTTCCTGTGTCTGGGGTCTGACCATTATATCCCTTACCCATCCTATCTTTCTGCATAGTCTCCGTTCTTCTTCTTCTTTGTTCTTCGTGTTCACCAGCTGTAAACTCTAATGGAAAGTTTTGGTTGTTCGTCCACTTCTGGACTGCAGTCCTGTTCCAAAACCTGAGTGTTGTGTCTGCATCCGTTTGACAGATCTGACACATCTGTGTGCAGACTGTTGGCTCCTTGCCTCTCAGGTTGATGCGCTCCGACTTCGAAAGAGGCTCCCAGTTAGTCGACTCTTACGACATGCTTTTGGGTAGGCAGTGGGTCTGTTCTTGTTTTCCCTATAACAGTGCCCCGGAATCCACACGGGGGGTCTCCGTACTAAACTACGGCCTTACACCAAAGCGAATCAAGGGAATAGGTGCCTTGCCTGTGTCAGCTCGTGTTATTTTCATGCAGTCATTTCTTCACAGCATGAATACCATCATTAAGACTGTCTCTTTACTTTCTAAGCTTTATCTCTCTGAATCCAGGGACTACCCATGCTCCTATCGGCATGCCCGTAATGCCTAAGACTAGTTGCAGATGGCCGGCCTATGGATCGCACTGGTAATGCCCTTTGGGAGATCAGACGATCGTAGGATTTTTTGGGAGCAGCGTGTCCACATCACTGCTCACAATGCGAGAATTTGGAGTGAAGATCGTATGAGAGGCACACGGGACGTACAAGAAGCCTTGTTCACCAAAATAGGACTAGAGCTATAAACCGCGGGGCGCTGAATTTTATTTTCAAAGCGGAAACTGAGCACGTATGGTCGTGTCGGGAGTGCTACGAAGATAACCCAGCTAAGTCTAATGTCGAGCACACAACCAGCGACCTAACGGTTTCATAACGCGATACCCCTCGCCCCTTATTTGCAGATCCATTATAGCAGGTCGCGAAACATTATTGGCAATACATTTTTTTTCAATCTGTTGTTTTTGTCATCATCAATATTTTCCGTTCCACTTATCAAAAACATGCCATAACAGATGACGGCTGATGGGAAACAGAAATCAAACAAAATGTTGAATTAAAAATCCACATCATAACACTCGGAACACCACCATAAGCGCAAACTCCTCTTCAGAGAAGCTGCTTTTTTGTAATCGTTTCGCTTTTTAATTGTGTTTTAGCTCGGCCAATCCCCCGGTGAACACGCAGGCCATTTCCTCA